GCCCGGGCTGGGGATTCAAACCTGCCACCTTAGGTGTATGTGGCTGGCGCCTTGGCCGCTTGAGCCACAAGCGCCCAGCCCTTAATCACTTCTTGTACTTCATTTCTTTACCCGAACCCTGAGCAATCCTAAGAACACTGCTTCCCCTGCTGCCTTTTCTAATTCAGGCCTCTCTTTTTCTCATACCCCACATGCCTCCACGCTGAGGATTGAGAGCTACACCCATTTAAACTAACCTAAGCATAAAGTAAATAAAGCAAAAATAAATAAAGCAACATTTAGCAACAGCCAAAAATCCATTATGGTTCTCATGAAAGTCCAAGATTAAATTGGATGGAGTTAGGCCAATGTGGTGGCTCACAGCTGTAATCCTAGCACCCTGGGAGGCTGAGGTGGGTGGATTGCTTGAGCTCAGGAATTCAAGACCAGCCAGGGCAAGAATGAGACCCCATCTCTAAAAATAGCTGGGCATTATGATGGGTGCCTGTTGTCCCAGCTACTCAGGAAACTGAGCAAGAGGATGGCTTGCGCCCAAGAGTTTGGGGTTCCTGTGAGCTATGACCTGGCACTCTACTGGGGGTGACAAAGTGAGACTTTGTCTCAAAAAAATTTATGGAGTTCAGGTATGGCTAAATCCAGGCATCCAAATCCTGGCATTAAGACTTTTACAATTGTTCATTTCTGCTCTCCTCTATCTTCAACCTCATCTCATAAAGACTCTTTCTTTGTATCAGTGAGAGCCCTTCCAGCTCCAAGTTGGCAACTCCAGAAGAAATAGAAAACCTCTGTCTTGATAGTTGCAGCAATGTCTTGGGGTTTGTTCTCATGGGGCTGAGTTAGGTTACATTCCTTTGTGGGACCAATCACTGCGGCCAAGGAAACAGAACAAACTGGCTAGATCCAGATCCTATGTACATCCTCGGAGTTGGTGAGGGCAGGGCTTCTATGCCAGTCCTATTCAAATTAAATAGACTGAGAAGGAAGAAAAATGGGTTCCCAAAAGAAAAGTCAGTGGGATACTGGGGTGAGGTGGAGAGCTGTGTGGATTTCTGGGGGAAGAGTGTTCTAAGTGACAGAACAGCTTGTGCAAAGGCCCTGAGATTGTGATTGTACTTGCCTGAGAGGTCAAAGATCAGCAAGGCTACTTCTGTTGTAGGCGTCACCTATAGTGACTTAACTTCCTGCCTGAGGCCGAATCCAGAATATTGGTCCAATATGCTGTTGATTAGCAGCCCCCTCTGCGCAAGCGCACTACACACACACACACACACACACACACACACACACCCCCACACCCCCGGAGTTCCTTAGCCATGTGTACTGCAATCACCTCCCCTCCCTAATTAACTTTGTACTCCCTCCTTACTTGACCGGTAAAAAGATACCATTTCTCTGCTCTCTTTAAAAAGGAGTGTGACTGAATTAAAACAGATTTTCTTGACATAAACTTAATTATTCATCGGTGGGAAAGTGAAAAAGGAGTTAGAGAGACGGTGGGCTGGAGTGCAGAGGGCGCCAGACTGGACGAATGGGGCGAGTTGGGGAACGGGACCGGCAAAGATCCGGACGGGGGCGGCAGGAAGGGGCTGGAGACCGAGAGAGAGCGTTGGGACCCAGAGTGCGAGGGGCTGTTGAACTGGATTGGGGGGTGAGGCATAGAGAGGGCAAGAGGGGACTCAGCGAATGAGGACCAGGGGCGGCTGGGCGCCGGAGGACGTAAGGCTTGGGGGTTGGAAGGGGTGGGATTGGAGGTCGGAGGTCCCCGAAAGCGGGTAGGAAATGGAGAGGCTAGACGAGGGTGAAGGTTAGAGGGCGGGGGCTGGGGTAGGGAGTAGAGTGACAGGGTAGGGTCAGAGAGTATTGGTGTTGGAACTTCAGAGGCTTGGGCGACAGAAGGCACAGCCCACTGACGGTGCGTACCACACCGCAGGAAAAGTCTGCTGTAAGGGGCGTGGCTGGGGGAGGGGGTGTCCATTACTGGTGTCCCCCACTCCTCCTGGAGTTCCAAGTCTGTTCCTCTGGTTCCACCTTCTTCTCGGGAGTGACAGACCCGTCGCCCAACCAGAGCCCCGGATTGGACGCAGCTCAGCCAACCAGGTGGCGGAGGGAGGAGCTGAGGAGGGGGCTCACAGGGCCAGGGGAGGGGGCTGGGGGCCTCTAAGGGCTCAGGAGCGGCGACCCGCGAGCCATGGCGCTGGGGCTGCAGCGCGCAAGGTACTTGGGTTCGGGGGCAAGAATGATAGGCTTTGGGGGGGCTCTCCTCCTGGAGACCCCTGAGCTGGGTGGTGGAGGAGTGCGCTGGAGTGAGGCAAGGACAATCCGGGGGGCGCAGTTAGAGGAACATCCCTGCCACACCCTCCACCCTAGGGGACTGTAGGGATGGAGGATTTCTCCAAGTCCCCTGCTACCCCACTTGTCTCGTCAGTAGTGGTTTCGGGGTTTCCTGCTAACCCAGGCTCACTTCCCCGCCTGAGTTAGGTTATGGATCTAGGGGTAGTTGCATTTGAGTAGTCTCCGGGCTTCTTGGAGGTATTTTCCCAACACACATTGATACCCCTGGCCTCCAAACCCACAGGATTGAGGTTGTTCTTTGCCACCAGAACCTTGGGATCCTAGGAAATATGAGATACCCCCAAATTGAGCCTTCCCAGATATAGGAGTCCCTTGGAATGGCATTCATCTCCTGAGTTCAAGAGCAGAAAGATTCCTTTGGTTTAGCCTTCTTGACACAGTCTCCCAAACTTTGAGTTTACCTTAAAATGAGCAGAAAGTGCCCCCTTTCAGAAGCTGCCTGGGACCTTTCTGTAGCCTTTTAAAAGGTAGAGTCACCCCCTTAAATAAAAGGGTAACAAGGTTGACCCAATTCCCAAAGTCTGGCCCTTTGTCTCACTCCTCTACCCCCACCCAGTCCCATTTACTGAAGGATGGGAGGGGGCATTCAAGCCTTACTTTGGGGAGACCCCATTTAGTGTGGGCTGTGCCTGCCTCCATGTGAGAGACTATCATGGGAGACCCTTGCACAGTGCTCAGCTGGCTCATCCTGAGCAGAGGGTGGGTTCCTGGGTTCACCTCCCAGCAGGTGCAGAGCTGCTAGGGCAGAAGGGAACCTGTGCTCTGGAACCACTGCCAGAAGGTCCTATCTGGCTATGTTCTCATGGGACCCCAGAAAATGACCCAAGTCATTGGTTTTCCTGGTCCAATCTGAGGCATCCAGTCAAGCTCACCCCCTTCCCTCCCTGGATTCGCAGGTCTGATTGGATCCTTCCACACCCCTGTTTTTACTGCCCCCCCTAACTCTGCCCCCCTCATTCTATTCCAGTCCCTGGCTCTGAGCAGGCCAGGGAACTGTATCCCACCCCTTCTGGGCCAGGCGTAGCCCCACCTCCCAGCACCCCCTCCTGGCTGTGTGTGGGCCCCTCCCGAGGAGCTGGGGTGCTCCCCACCTCACTCATGGCCAGCCCTTTCCTGTGGTGTCATCTCACTTCTGCACACCACCCACTCATAATTCGCACCCAGATCCTGACCATGCTCTGTTTCTTCCTGAGCCCCTAGGATGGCATTTCAGCCAGAGGGGGCCTGGGTGATGGTGAGTGGGTCCCCCACATCTCTTTGCCCCTTTTTCTTCTTCCAGTTTGGACTCTCTGCCATCCCACTGTGAGCAAGGGTGTTCTTGTAAGTCCTTGATGGGTATACGACCCTAAGTGAGCACCGGAGAAGGGTTCCCAGAGAATACAAAACTTTAGGGATGGGCACCGCCACTGGATTACCACGTCCTTGGGCACAAGAAGAATCTGGGGAAGAGAGACTGCTCCTGGCCCCACCCGAGTCCCTTCTCAAACTGAAACCCTGCCTCTGGGCCTCTCAGTCCTTGCCGAGGTATGACCTAAGCCCCCACCTCTAGATCCTCCACTTTTTGCAAGAGCCCCAATAGCCAGTTGAGTATCTGAAGAGAGAGGCCCAGAAGCACCCCTGAATGTGGGGCAGTCTCTCCACTTTCATCTTGCTGTTGCTTATGGGGGGCAAGTCCTTCAGGGCAGGGAAGAGGTGGGCTTCTGTCCCTCCTGGTTGGGTTAGGGGGTGCTGGGCCCCCTCCCCTTTCCCAGGCCTCACCCTGAGGCCTCTGGGCCATGGCCCCGCCCCTTGTTCTGGGATGGAACACAGAGGAAGGGTGGCAGGGTTCCAGCTGCACGTCCTGAGCTGGGCAGAGTGCCAAGGGGCTGGACCAGGTCTGGGCATGGGGCCAGCTGGGGAGATCAGGGATCAGTAGGCAGCAAGGGTAGGACAGGGGAAGGGACTGAGGCCACCTGGCAAAGGAGGGGCAGGGCAGGGGCCCCTTGAGTGGTGGCCACATCTTCCAAGAGCAGAGGCCCCAAAGTCTGGGTTCAAATCCCAGCTTACCCACCTCCTGGCTATATGGCCTCGTGTTAGCAGCTGCCTCTCTGAGCCTTAGTTTCATATCCTGGAAAATAAGGGTCATCCCTTCCCTACCCCCTCCCAGATCAAGGTGAGGAACCAGAGAGGAAACAGACCTGGGAGGCGGGATACCCAGTAGGTAGATAGGCAGTAAACTGAGATCAACCCAGACTTCCAGGAGGAAGTAGACAGTGGCTTGAATCCTTCCTCTGCTTTTGAAAGCTGTGTGGCCTCAGGCATGTTCCTTCACCTCCTTGGGCCTGTTTCCTCATCAGAAAATGGGACAGTAATAGCAGGTACATGGTTGGATTAACTGAGAATTGGGTGAGCACAGATTACCCCTGGGTATGCAGGGCTGCCATTGCTCCAAACCTCAGTTTCTGCCTGTATACAAAGAGAGTGATCTACTTCTGCTCTGAGGAGTGTTATAAGGATTTAATGGAGTCTCTAGCTCCATGTGTGTTCAATACACCAACAATGTTACTATTATTACTATTACTATTATTTAGTCCTCCCAAGGTGCTTGTGTAAAAACCACGTAATTATTTAAAAAAAAAAATTTTTTTTTTTTTTTGAGACAGAGCCTCAGGCTGTCCCCCTGGGTAGAGTGCCATGGCATCATAGCTCACAGGAACCTCCAACTCCTGTGCTCAAGCGAGTCTCCTGCCTCAGCCTTCCAAGTAGCTGGGACCACAGGCACCCGCCACAATGCCCGGCTATTTTTTGGTTGCAGCTGTCATTGTTTGGTGGGCCCAGGCTGGATTCGAACCCACCACCTTAGGTGTATGTGGCTGGCGCCTTAGCCACTTGAGCCACAGGCGCCAAGCCAAAAAAAAATTGGGGGGGGGGACATTGTCTCACTCCGTTGCCCAGGCTAGAGTGTCATGGTGTCTGCCTAGCTCACAGCAACCTCGAACTCCTGGGTTCAAGCAGTCCTCTTGCCTCAGCCTCCTGAGTAGCTGGGGCTACTGCCACCAGCCACTATGCCCAGCTGAGACAGAGTCTCACTCTTGCTTAGGCTGGTCTCGAACTCCTGAGCTCAACCGATCCACCCGCTTCAGCTTCCCAGAGTGCTAGGATTATGAGTGAGCCACTGTATATGGCCTTAACCATGTAATTGTACACATATGTCACATTATGGGGTCACCATCACAGCCCATAGGCAACTCTAGAACCTAAGAGGCTCCCAAGCCTGAGCTTTCCATCCTTGATGTGCACAAAGGGAGGATAGTAAGTTTAGCCTTTATAGCACTAACCAATTGCTAAGGCCGTTTTTTCTGATTCCTTGACATATATTAACTCATTTAAACTTCAAAACAATCCAATGATGTAGGTGCTGTTACTATGTTCAGGGAGGCTGTGCAATGTGTCCAAAGTCACACAGCTGATAATTAATGGACTAGAACCCTGAACCAGAGGAACTAGCCCCACACTCTGTTTAACCAGAAAGGCCCACGTTTCCTGTGAAGAGATGTTAGAATGTTTTGAGAATAGACTGGGAACTGGAAGGAGGGTCCCCCTGCAGCTTCCAGCTGGCTGAAGGAAGCAGCCCTGCCATGAAGAAAGGATTACAGAGCCCAGCTGCCTGGGAGGTGGGGCCCTGGCAGTGCCTGTTCCCACTCCCTGTTCCCTCTGTCTGGGCCCCCAGCTCAGGGAGGCCCGCCCACCCCCACCCTCTGGGCAGGAAGACAAACAGGGCTGGAACAGAATGTCCTCTGGGGCAGGCAGGACTGAGGCCTCTGCCCCCACCAACCACGAGGCAGAGGATGGGGGGATTTCTCACCCCTTCAACCCTCCACGAAGTCTGCTTCCTTCTGTGCCTCCTACCCTGCTGCACTGAGGCCTTTCCCCCACCCTGCATCCAGGTGGGAAATCTCCTCCCCTCTCCCTGGGGGTGGAGTTCCAGGTCTCCCACCTGGGGCTGAAGTTAATACCACCCTAGAAGCTGCTTTTGTTCCTCTGAATTGAGGAAGGAACAGCCTGCCCTCCTAGAGTTTCTGCTTCCCTGGGATAGGTCTCCAGAAGGGGATTACAGAAAAGGCTGAGGGGTTTGGAACCTTACCACCCTGATTCTTATCCCAGCTCCGCCAGTTACTGGCTTTGTAACTTCTTGGGCAAAGGACTTCACTTTCCAGAGGCTGGATTTCCCCTTTGTAAAGTGGTGATTTAAAATGTCTTCCTCTTGGATTGTATGAGTTCACATGGGCAGAATACATAGCACAATGTCAGACACACAAATGTTTAGCAAATGACAACTGCTTACTTCTAATGGTTTTTACTAATATTATAAACATAGATAAGACTATACCATGTACTATACTTGCACCCTGTACTTTTTATTCAGAAATGATAGTATAGAGACTTTGGGTTCAGACAGACCTAGAGGAGTTTGATTGGAAGACAGTTGCAGAAACAGCGAGTGTTGCCAAAACCTGGACATAAATCAGGGCCAGAGAGACAGTGAAAATCTACAGAAGTCCTCAAACTTTTTAAACAGGGGGCCAGTTCACTGTCCCTCAGACCGCTGGAGGGCTGGACTGGGCCCCGGGAGGAGTCCTCTGCTAAGCAGGACAGGCAGCAGCGGCAAGGGCCGGATAAATGTCCTAGGCGCCCGCATGTGGCCCATGGGCTGTAGTTTGAGGATGCTTGATCTAAGAGTTTGGGCAGACCAGTTTTTAGACCCTGGCTTCACTATTTATGAGCAAGCCTGCACCTCTCTCTGCCTCGATTTCCTCTTCTGTTCAATGGGAATGCCATTAACTCACCTTTAGGGCTGTCGGAACATTAAATGGGTTAAAAGTTTCACTCTTGGCCCAGGGTCTGACAGTAAAATGCTGGATAAGGAGCAGTTATTTCTGACAAATAGATACTTGTTCTTTTAAACCACACACACAAAATGAGGTATTTGAAGTGGATTACAGGCTCGAGTGAGTTGTAAGCTGTTGGCTGGACAGAACAGGTTGGTTTGCTGTGTCACCCTGCTGGGTCCCTGGCCCTCCTAGTGCCGGGTAGACTTTGAGATCTATGTTCCTAGATCATGAATACTCAGCTAAGCTGGGAGGAAAGGGCAGAGGAGGGGATTCTGGGAGGCTGCTGGGCAGGGGGCCTGGAAAGCTTCGGACTTCTGCCTCAAGCTCCTTCCCTACCCCGGCCCCAGGCCAGCTAGGCCAGCCCCCTCCCAGCAGGAGGCCTCCCTGTCACTTAGGCGTCCCCCGCAGGTAAATCAGGGAGGGGACAGAGCAACACTTCGGAGAGAAGCTAGGCGCCAGGAGGGCAGCATGGGCTGGCTTGGAAACAGGTAAAATCCGGGCTAGGTGGGGCTCTAAAGTGTAACCCTCCCAGACACTGGTAGCGTCATGAACTCGCAGGAGCCACACAAAGAGGGCTGCACAGTCGCAGTCCTGTCCTCAATGAGCACCGGCCCCATTTGGCACGTCCAGTCCACCACTTTCCTTTTCCGGGACGCCACGGTGAATGCGGCTCTTGCCCTCAGGTCGAGCACGGAGCTGCGCAAGGAAAAGTCCCGGGATGCAGCCCGCAGTCGGCGCAGCCAGGAGACCGAGGTGCTGTACCAGCTGGCGCACACGCTGCCCTTCGCGCGCGGCGTCAGCGCCCACCTGGACAAGGCCTCTATCATGCGCCTCACCATCAGCTACCTGCGCATGCACCGCCTCTGCACTGCTGGTGAGCCCCGCACTCGGGAATTCCCTCCCGGACAAGGCCCCGCCCACCGAAAGTTACGTCTCAGAGACTCCTCGCCAACAGGAAGTCTTATCCGGTCACCGCCTCCTAGTGACGTTTTCCCGGTGGAGCCCCACCCCACTGGAACTATTTCCCTGGAGAGGCTCCGCCCCCTTCGAGTTCCGGACCCACTGGAGCCCCACCCCCTTAGAGGCTTTCGCCAGTGTGGCCCCGCCCCCTGGAGTGTGCCTTTGGGAGGACCCGCCTCCTTAGGACTCTAAGTGAGGCCCGCTAACTCCCTCAGGCCCTTTCTCAAGCCTTAGGATTTGGTCCCCTATAAAATCTTTCCGATAGACCCTGCCCTCTTATAATAAATACCCCAGGGCTGTTCAATTTTTCGTTACTGATTTGAGAGTACCTCTTCCCCTCTCCTCCCCTCTAGTTCTATCACTTATTCGCTTAGTAGCCCTTCTGTGTTCCTGGAAGGACCATATCCTTAGAATTCTGTTCCTTGGGAGACCCTGCTCCTAATTCCAACGCTTGGTGGTCCTGCCCTCTTCCTTGGTACTCCCAGTCACTAGGATGTGCCCCTGTTACCTGGGGGGAACTGTAAGTTTTTCTCAATGAGGCACAGTGGGGGTAGCCTGGGTAAGCCTATACCTGACTAGAGACGCCTCTACCCCCTCCCTTGCCCCGGGCACAGGAGAGTGGAACCAGGTGGGAGAGCCACTGGATGCCTGCTACCTGAAGGCCTTGGAGGGCTTCGTCATGGTGCTCACCATGGAGGGAGACATGGCTTACCTGTCAGAGAATGTCAGCAAACACCTGGGCCTCAGTCAGGTGAGAGGAGATGCCTGCTCTGTGCCTGGCCCTGAGCTGGTGATGCTGGGGATACAGTGGTGACCAGGGCAGTGCCCCTGCCTTTATGGAATTCAAAGTATAGAGGGGAGATAGGTGTGTCATCAGAAAGGAAGACCTGGAATGGTCAGTGCTGGAATGGGACAGTGTGGGAGTCCAGGGAAGGGAGTGGGGTACCTGACCCAGCCTTGGGGGTAGGGGGATTGAGTGCTTCCCATAGGAAAGTACATCTGAGCTGAAGCCTGAAGGTCAGAGCTAGTCAAGAGGATATGGGGTCTGGGTGTGGTAGTTCACACCTGTAATCCTAGCACTCTGGCACTCTGGGAGACTGAGGTGGGAGGATCGCCTAAGCTCAGGAGTTAGAGACCAGCCTGAGCAAGAGTGAGTCTGTGTCTCTACCAAAAATAGAAAAATTAGCCAGGCATGGTGGCATGTGCCTGTAGTCCCAGCTACTGAGGAGACTGAGGCAGGAAAGTCACTTGAGCCCAGGAGTTTGAGTTTGATGATGCCACTATACTCTGGGAGTGGGGTGGGTATGGGGAGGGGATGAGACTGGTAAAGATCAGGAATATGTACATGACCAAGGGAACAGAACAGACAATGGCTCACAGGTGGGTGAAGCAGAGTGCTTTGGGGAAATAAAGTTTATCCTGGCTAGTTGCAGAATGCAATGGGAGCAGTTGAGAGAGATAAACCTAGAGAGGTCAGTAGGGGTTCGACCATTTAGGTCTAAACTAGAAAGTTTCTCTCCAGGGCCCTGGGGAGCTATGGAAAGATTTTAAGCAGTGGAGAGGTTATGCCAGAGAGGTAGAATCAAATTTGCATTTTTGAAAGATCCCTCTAGGTGCTGCCTGGAGATAGAATCGGAAACAATGAGACTAGAGCTTGGGAGATCAAGGATGGGTGCCAGTCTCAGGTGGCAGAAGATGCATAGGGACAGATGCCATGGGATGAGAAAATAAAAAACAAGGCACATTTAGGAAGTAGAACTAACTTCAATTAATCCTTATAGCAGGCTCCAGGAGAAAGTTCCCATTCGTTTTTCTATTTCACATAAATGGGTGCCATATAGTTGGCATCTCTTCCTTTTCCCTGCCTCACCTCTGGTACCAATTTCTGTTGATGTGAGCTTTTGGATTCAGAGAGGTGAATGTCCCAAGGTCCCAACTCTAGGAAGTGGCAAGGCAGGGTGTGAATCCAGCTAAAGAGGTGCTGTCAGAAGAGCAAGATCTCACTCTTCCCCCATTCGCTGTCACCAGCACTACACACATTGCGAGCCAATAAAAGTCCCCCGTTATCTTTCTCCCTTCTACCCAGCACCAGCCTCATTTCCTAAGTTGAGATGAGCAGTTGCATTTTTGGCTTGCCAAAGAGGCATTATTTGAATGGGGTCTCATCTCAGGGCTGGCTAGTCCTTCTTCTTAGAATGCTCCGGGGAGCCATAAGGCCACCTCACTTGCTTTGTTCAACAATTTTTTTAAATGTCACCCCCTCAAAGAAACTGCCTTTTTAAAGTAGCATCCTATTATTGCATCACCTTACCCTACTTTTGTTTTCATCATGTTACTTATAATTTTGTTAATATATGTTCTTTTGTTTACTATCAGTCTCCCCCCACTAGCCAATAAGCTTTGCCAGGTAGGGATTTATATATGAGGTCACTGATGTGTCCACACCATTTAGAAGAGAGCCTGGCAGATGGTAGGTATTGAATAAATGGTTGCTTAGTGAATGAATGAATGAATGAACACACGGGGAGACTGGTGAAGTAATCCAGGCAAGGGGATGCGGGTGGTAGGGAGGAGACGGGTCAGAGATCCAATTCACCAGCTCTGCCTGGGTCTCCTGGCAGCTGGAACTTATTGGACACAGTATCTTTGATTTCATCCATCCCTGTGACCAAGAGGAGCTTCAGGACGCCCTGACCCCCCAGCAGAGTGAGTTCCTTGGAGGCCTCTCTCTATTTTACAGAGGAGGAAACTGAGGCTCTACCCCTCCCTCAGCATATCCCTTCTTTCTCTGGAACACCAGGGTAAAGGGAGCAGGAAGAAGAGAAATAGGTCTACCCCTGGGGACTTAGGGGACATAGCCCGGCCTCAGGTTCTGAGAGGATGGAGCCCTGTCCTGGGGGCTCAGGGGATATGTCCCTGCCCTGCAGGTCTATGGGGGACACATTGTACCCCTGGAGGACCCTCTCTGGTTCTGGGTCCCAATTTGGGGGATAAAGCAGGGGTGGCTCTCCAGAATGCTGGAGAGAACTGGGCCCTGTCTGCAGCTGCCTGGTGACCTGCCCCAAACCCCTGGCCCTCCCCAGGCCTGTCCAAGAAGAAGCCAGAGGCTCCCACCGAGCGGTGCTTCTCCTTGCGCATGAAGAGCACCCTCACCGGCCGCGGGCGCACCCTCAACCTCAAGGCGGCCACCTGGAAGGTGGGCAGGGCCTGGCCCAGAGAGTGCACAGGGCCTGCTGAGCCCAGGCCTGAGCCCTTGAAGATCTCAATGGGGGTTGGAGTCCAGGGGTCTCTTGGGCTGGAGATACTGTGTGGCTCTCTCAGGCTGGGTTTGGTGGGTCCTGAGGGTACCTAGGATGGTTGGGCATCTGTGGAATTGGGATCTGGGTTCTTTGTAAGTCTTCTTAAGATGGATCTCTGCGGGGCTGGGGCTCCTCAGCCCCTTGAGCCTGGAGTCTTCCTGGGGTTGGAGTCTGGGAGTCCTTAAGCTCTCTGAGCTGAGTCTCTGGAGTCCTCAGGAATTTCTTCTCTGTTCCCCTTGCCTTCCAGCCCCATGGGTAGCCCAGAACCAGACACATCCCCATCTCACCCCTCCTGACCCCCAGGTGCTGCACTGCTCTGGGCATATGAGAGTCTACAGGCCCCCCATGAAGACCTCCCCAACTGGGAGCCCCAACTCAGAGCCTCCCTTGCAATGCCTGGTGCTCATCTGTGAAGCCATCCCCCACCCAGGCAGCCTGGAGCCCCCACTGGGCCAGGGGGCCTTTCTCAGCCGCCACAGCCTGGACATGAAATTCACCTACTGTGACGAGAGGTGGGCAGAGACCCAGCTGCCCTCCAGCCCCTCTCTTCCCTCCTTCCCAAGTTCCCATGCTGTTTCCCCTTCCACCCTCCCCAGGCCCACTGTTGAGCATGCAGTCTCTTTCTCTTTCTTACTGTGTCTGCCTATATCTGAATTTTCTATGGGTCCTTTTATCTTTGGTTCTCTCTGCCTCTCTTTGAGTCTTTCTCTTAGTGTCTATCTGCCTTTGTTCTTTTTCTTAAAGGAGGCAATTTGTGTGAAGCAGTTGGTATGGTGACCAGCACACAGGAAGCATTTAGTAGACTGTCTAAGGACAGTTATTCTTTCTCTGTCCTTCCTTTCATCTCTTTTTCTCCCTCCCTCTCCTCCTTCTGTCCTCTTTTCCCTACCTTCCTCTGTCTTCCTTCTTTTCCCTCACCCTGAAGTGGTGCTTAGGAATGGTGACTCCGGGTTCAGACTGTTTGGGTTTAAGTCTTGGCTGTGTATCCTTGGCCAAGTGCCTTCACCTCTCTGTGCCAGTTTCCTCATCTGTCCTGTGGAATCATAATAGAACAGCAGTTCTTAACCTGTGGGTTGCGACTCGCAGGAACTGTATTAAAGGGCTGCAGCATTAGGAAAGGTTGAGAACCACTGTAATAGAACCTAGTAAGGTTGTTCTGAGCACTTAATGAGTTACTCAGGACTAGAACATGATAGAAGTGGCTAATTTTTAATCATTATCATCATTATTTCTTTTTATTTCTTTTCATTCTTTTATGGGTCATTTCTTTTCTTCTTCTTTTTTTTTTTTTGGTGATAAGATCTCACCCTATTGAGGTGGTACAATCATAGCTCACAGCAGCCTCAAACTCCTGGCCTCAAGCGATCCTCCTGCCTCAGCCTCCTAAGTAGCTGGAACTAGAGGCATGTACCACCATCTCCAGCTAATTTGTTTTTAGTTTATTCTTTGTAGATATGGGATCTTTCTGAGTTGCCCAGCTGGTCTCAAACTCCTGGTCTCAAGTGGCCCTCTACCTTCGCCTCCCAAAGTGCTGGGGATTACAGGTGTGAGCCACCACACTCAGCCTATTTCTTTTCATTCTTTCTTCCCTTCTCTTCCTCCTCTCCTATTTCTTGCACTTTCTCTCATTCTTTCTTTTCTTTGCTCTTCCCCCCACTTCTGCCCTCTCTCCCCTTGTATCAGTTCTCTGTTGCTGTTGTGCCATGTTAACATGTTACTGCAAACTCAGTGGCTCAAAACAACACAAATTCACTAGCTCATCGTTCTCGGGGTCAGAAATTCATAATTAGTTTATAGGGCTGTGTTCCTTTGGAAGGCTCCAGGGAAGAATCTGTCCTGGCCTTTTCAAGCTTCTCAAGGCCACCTGCTTTCCTTAGCCCATGGCCCCTTCTTCCATCCCAGAGCATATCACTTCCATCTCCACCACTCCTTTCCACACTCTGGCCCACCTGTCTCTCTCTCTAAGGACCCCTGTGACTACACTGGGCCCTCCTGGGCAATCTGGGCTCATCTCCCCTTCTCAAGATTAACTTCATCACCTCTGCAAGGTCCCTTTTGCCATGTTTGATACCATACTTACAGGTTCTGGAACTTAGGATGAGGATATCTCTGGGACCATTATCCAGCTCAACACTCTTCTCTCTCTCTCTTACAATCCTATTTCTACCTCTCACTGGCTTTGTCCCTGGATCACCTTGCCCCTTCCATCCACCCACCCTCCACCTCAGCCAGTTGTACTCTGATGAGACACCCCTCACCCCCATCCCAGGATCGCAGAGGTCGCTGGCTATAGTCCCGATGACCTGATTGGCTGTTCCGCCTACGAGTACATCCATGCGCTGGACTCAGATGCAGTCAGCAAGAGCATCCACACCTGTATGTGTCCCCTTTCCCTAGCCTGAAGCTGCTGCTGCATGGCCCCCAGCTCCCTAAGCTTCAGAGAACCTTCTCCAAGTTCCCAATCTGCCCCCCCAGCCTTCTGTCCCCAGTTGCCCCTCCTACACCCCTGACCCCTCCCCATTCCCCTCCTCAGTGCTGAGCAAGGGCCAGGCAGTAACAGGGCAGTATCGCTTCCTGGCCCGGAGTGGTGGCTACCTGTGGACTCAGACCCAGGCCACAGTGGTATCTGGGGGCCGGGGCCCCCAGTCGGAGAGTATCATCTGTGTCCACTTCCTGATCAGGTAAACAGGAGGGGTTGGGGTGTCAGTGTTTGTGGGTCTGGTCTGTAAGTTTGGGCAGGTGTGTGTGCGTGTGTGTGCACATGAGCACGCATGTATCCTGCATAAGTGTGTGTATGGCCGTGTGAACACACGTATGTGTCCATATGTCCACATGTATGTGGATGGGTGTGTGTAGTGTTAAATTTAAAAGTACTGCATTCAAGTTAAAATAAGAAATGCAACAGGGTGGTGCCTGTGGCTCAAAAGGGTAGGGTGCTGCCCCCATATGCCAGAGGTGGCGGGTTCAAATCCAACCTCAGCCAAAAAAAAAAAAAAAATGCAACAGCTGGGCATGGTGGTTCATACCTGTAATCCTAGCACTCTGGAAGGCTGAGGCAGGTGGATTGCTTGAGTAAGATTTGAGACCAGCCTGAGCAGAAGCGAGACCCCATCTCTACTAAAAATAGAAAAACTGAGGCAAGGGTAGTGCCTGTGGCTCAAAGAGTAGGGCGCCAGCCCCATATACCAGAGGTGGTAGGTTCAAACCTGGCCCCAGCCAAAAAAACTGCAAAAAAGAAAAACTGAGGCAAGAGAATTGCTTGAGCCCAAGAGTTTGAGGTTGCTATCAGTCTGTGAGCTATGACTGCCATGGCCCTCTACCCAGGGCAACAGCTTGAGACTCTGTCTGAAAAAAAAAAAAAAGAAAGAAAGAAAGAAAAAAAGAAGTCCAAAGTATTGTAGGGTCATTTTTTGATTTTAAAAATTGAGGTGTAATTTGTAGATAGCCCATTTTCTTTTTGAGATACGGTTTTATGAATTTTGACAAATGCATGTAGTTATATACCCACTACCACAATCAAGCTATGGAACAGTTTCATCATCCCCCCAAATTGTCTCATAGTAAACCCGTCCCCAGCCCCCAGTTTCTGGTAACCACCAATCTGTCCTCAGACCCTAGAGTTTTGCCTTGTCCAGAATGTCAGATGCAGGGGATCACGCAGACTCCTGGGTCTCACCTCTTTTACTTAGCGTGGTGCATTTATCATTCATCCATGCTGTGGTTTATTTCAGAAGTTCCTCTGTGAGTACTATTCCATGGTATGAATGGACCTCAGTGTATCTATTCACCAGTTGGAGGATTTTGGGTGCTTTCCTATTTGGGGTGGTTACCAAAACAGCTATTACAAACATTGTCATACGAGATTTTGTGAGATTACATACAAAAAAAATTTTTTTTTGAGACAGAGTCTAACTTTATTGCCTTTGGTAGAGTGCTATGATGTCACAGCTCACAGCAACCTCTAATTCCTGGGCTTAGGCGATTCTCTTGCCTCAGCCTCCCGAGTAGCTGGGACTACAGGCGCCCACCACAATGCCCGGCTATTTTTTTGTTGCAATTCGGCTGGGGGCCTATACCCTTGGTATATGGGGCTAGCGCCCTACTCATTGAGCCACAGGCGCCTCCCCAAGATTACACATTTTCATTTCTTTTGGGTAAACACCTAGGAGTGGAAGGGATAGGTTCTAGGGCAGCAGTTTTCAACCTGTGGGTTGCGACTCCTTTGGGGTTTGAATGACCCTTTCTCCTTTCACTGGGGTCACCTAAGACCATCGGAAAACACATATTTCCGATGGTCTTAGGAACTGAGACACTGCTCCTCATGCATGGGGGTCACTACAACATGAGGAACCATATTAAAGGGTTGTGGCATTAGGAAGGTTGAGAACCACTATTCTAGGGTAAGTGTGTATTTAACCTCTTAAGAAATTGCCAGGCAGCACCTGTAGCTCAAAGGGGTAGAGCACCGGCCCCATATACGGGAGGTGATGGGTTCAAACCTGGCCCTGGCCAAAACCTGAAATAAATAAATAAATAAATAAATAAGCATAGTTAAGAAATTGCCAAACTGTTTTCCAGAGTGGCTGTAACATTCTGCATTTCTGTGCGTTCATTCTCATACACACAGCAGTATGTGAGAGTTCCAAGTTGCTCCTCATCCTTTACTGTATTGCTTACTGTCTGACTTTTGGGGGGTTTTGGTTTGGTTTTAGTTTTAGTCATTCTAATAGGCACATAGTGGTGAAATCATAGCTTTTTTAGCCCCCATCATGCATCTTAGAGGTTTTTCACCATTTAGGAATGCAGGGGTGTCAACATTATGATGGGGGCAGCATATTATTACAAAAGACAGTGTTAGAATTATAGCTTTTCTTTGTTATCTTATAGGACATGACAGCAATTTCTAAAGCCTTAGGGGTTTTTACTAATTTGGAAAGTGTTCTGAAATACAAACCAATTTATGTCTCAGGTCTCTGCACTGCTCAGAGTGCCTTTCTGCAGATCCCCAGTATCCTTAAGAGAAAGCCTGAGTGCCTCAGCATGAATCACCAGGCCCTGTGGAACTCCTGCCTCCACTTCTCACTCACTCTCCAAACCTCAGGGCCTTTGCACATGCAGTTTCCCCTGCCCAGAATGCTCTGCTGTCTTTTCTCCTCCCCTTTTTGCTGAGTCATGCTCACTCATCCATCCAGTCTCAGCTCAGACCTCACTTCCTAGAGACCTCTTCCTGGGCCCCCACACCAGGTCTCCCCCCAGTATCTTTTGCTTTTGCTCCAGAGTATTTAAAGTCATTCATAACTATCCTATTGAATTGTATGTTCAGCCCGGCCTTTTTTTCCCTAAGAACGTCTGACTCTGTCACCCAGGCTGGAGCATGTAGTGGGGCAGTCACAGCTCACTGCCACCTTGAATTCCTAGGCTCAAGTGATCCTCCTCTGGTTTCAGCCTCCCAAGTAGCTGGGACTCGAAGTGTGTACCACAGCACCTGGCTGAACCAGGCCTTTTTGAGTGCCCCTTTCAGAACTGCAAACCCCCTTCTCTGCTTTTTTTTCCTAGTACTTATCACTATTTAACCTAACCCTGTGCTAAAAAAAGTGCAATGCCAGTCACACATGCCATTTTGAGTTTTCTAGTAGCCAAGTTAAAAAGGCAAACAGAAGCAGGTGAAATTAATTCTAATAATATATTTTGTTATTCATGTTCAAGGTCACACAGCTCATAGGTGGCAGAACTGGGATTTGAACTCAGATCACGGCTACAGAGTTCTTTCTCTTAACCACTAGGCAGTACTATTTATGGAATGAATAAATGAATGTGGTGTGTGTGCATCTATGTGAGTCCAGAGGCTAGTGAGCACATCTGTCCCTGTGTGCTCACGGGGCACATGTATACACAGGCATATGTAAGTGTTCCTGTGTGTGCGTGTGTGTACATGTGTGATTGTGCGTTCCTAGGCTTTTCAGGGGGATGAGGGTAGCTTTGGTCCAGCCTAAGTTGGGATGTTTCCAGCCTAAGATCGGTTCAGCAAAGGATGCAAAGGGGTCAAAGAGCTGGTAGGAAGACCAGATCCACCTGCATTCTGTCCTGTAGGGTGTTGTGCAGATGTAAATAATGAGGGCCTGGTCTTTAGCCAGACTAACCCTCCAAAAGCCAGTTTGCCCAGAGAACACTTGGATCGTCTTCACAGCCAAAGACTGCGTGAAGGGAGGTGTAGGGACATATGAAGGATGTATTTATAAATCCGTTCCCTTGAATGTGAAAAATATCTATGAATAGAAACATCATAAATAAAATCTTATTCATAAAAATATAGCCCCATGAATTCTTCATATTTGGTAATGTAATGAAAATATGTTAAAAATATATCTTTTATCAATACATTTATAAGAATCTGTTTATAAGTAAATATCTATGAAGAGAATGTTTAGTTCTTCAGCCTGTTTATTGCTAGGCGTCTCCACTCTGACTTCCCCACCCCCACCCTCACCCCCACCCCTGAGCCTCCCTTCTCTCTACCGAGCCTCTGCCAGATGCTAGTTCTTTTTTCTGTCTTTCCTTCTACAGAGGGAGCTTGGGAAGGGACAAACTTAACTTTCTTTAAAAATGCTGTTACAGGCCAGGCATGGTGGCTCAGGCCTATAATCCCAGCACTTTGGGAAGCTGAGGTGGGAGGATCGCTTGAGGTTTGGAGTCTGAGACCAGCCTGCACAAGAATGAGACCCTCATCTCTACTAAAAATAGAATTGGTGGTTGGGCATGGTAGCTAGGTGTGGTGGCATGCACCTGTAGTCCCAGCTACTCAGGAGGCTGAGGCAGGAAGATCCATTGAGCCCAGGAGTTTGAGGGTGCAGTGAGCTGTGATGACACTACTACCCTTTAGCTGGTGAAACGGTGAGACCCTGTCTCAAATAAAAAAGCTTTTATAATAAAACACTGCCAACAGAAATCAAATCCTTGTAAAACACAAATAAACGTGGGGAATTATTTTCTGCAAAAAATCCTCCAGTTAATAGCACATCATCTGAAGGGGTTACCTGGGCTGGGGCCCAGGACCCTCCCTGACTCCCATCCCCTTTCTGCCCATACTCTAGCCGGGTAGAAGAGACCGGAATGGTGCTGTCCCTGGAGCAGACGGAGCGGCACTCTCGCAGACCCATTCAGTGGGGCGCCTCCTCTCAGAAGGATGCCCCTAACTCTGGGGACAGCCTTGGTATGGAGCAGGGCCAGGGCTGTGAGGGGTTGTGCCCCCAGGACCCTTGGAAGGAAGCCCAAGTGCCCTAACATGGCTCACCAGGCTCTGTGGTTCCTGACTCCTGCCTCCCTCCCCTCTCACTCACCCTCCAAACCTCATGGCTTCCTCAGAGCTCCTGGAATGTGGCTTCATGGACCATCAAGGCCTTTGCACATACACTTTCTCTCCTTTGTCCTCCCTCCTCTCCTGTGTCTGTAGGCTGATTGCTACAGTCTTCCTGCCGCCCTCTGCTCTGAGTCCTGTGGCTCCCCACTGCTCCCACCATTCCGCATCTTCCCTGTGCCTGCTTCATTGCTCTTTGGCTTCCAGAAATCTCCACTATCCCAAGTCTTGCTCCTTTCTCCCTCTTTCTTCTATCTCTGTCCCTCACAGCATCACCCTCTCTAAGCTGTTGTGGCAGCCCCTGCTCCTTGGTGGGGTACAGTTGCTAATTCCCTTTCCTTTTCTGCCTCAGAGCTGGCTCTGAGCCATGTCTTGCACTCTGGGTACCTTAGCATCTCCTTAAGAGCCTCCGGCCAGCCTTTTCTCCTAATGTGCAAGCTCACAGAGCTAAATAGCCAAATGCTTTTCTGGGGTCCCAGACTCTTCTTCTGGAACCCTCAGGGCAACAGGAGTTCTCTAAGACCCTTCTCCTTAGCACTAAGAATGGTGGCCAGTGGCCATGGTGACTGGTTGTGTCAACTGTGTTCCTTGGGGTTGGTGTGGAGGGCTCTGGCATGACCACCTATGTCACCCACCTCTATGTGTCCTGCAGATGCCTCTGGTCCTCGAATCCTTGCCTTCCTGCACCCCCCTGCCCTGAGTGAGGCCATCCTGGCTGCTGACCCCCGCCGTTTTTGTAGCCCTGAACTTCGATGCCTCTTGGCACCCATCCTGGATGGGGCTGCGGTAGCTGCCACCCCCAGCACACCACCAGCCACGCGGCGTCCCCAAAGTCCTCTTCCGGTAGGTATTCCCACCCATCTGAGCCCTCAGGATCTAGGCTGCTTTGGCCTTTGGCTCAAACCTTGCTGTTCTCTGGGCTTTGGTTTCTCTATGCGTACAAGTAGTGGGGAGGGTGGAATGAGATGGGGCAGGGGTTCCAGAGCCTTCAATTATTAGAATTCTAGAGTCTGGCCCCCAACCTGGGAAGTTCTGAACTGTCACAGGTGACCCCACCTCCCAAGTTTGTGATTAAGTATCTAGGTTCTCTGAACTTTGACCTCAGAATCAGAATGTCTAATATCTTAATTTACACAGAGCTCCATTCAAATCCTGAGCCTGTCTCTTACCACCTGTGTTACCCTGAGCAAGTGAGTTTTTGGTTTTTTTTTTTTTTTGATAGAGTCTCACTATGTCACCCTTGGTAGAGTACCATGGCATCACAGCTCACAGTAACCTCAAACTCTTGGGCTTAAGCCAGCCTGTATTAAAGGGCTGTGGCATTAAGAAGGATGAGAACCACTGGCTTAAGAGATTCTCTTGCCTCATCCTCCCAAGTAGCTGGGACTACAGGCACTGCCACACGCCCGGCTATTTTTTGTTGCAGTTGTCATTGTTTTTAGCTGGCCTGGGCTGGGTTTGAACCTACCACCCTGGGTGTTTGTGGCTGGCGCTGTAACCACTGTGCTATGGGCGCCAAGCCAGAAAGTGAGTTCTTGAGGCCTTCATTTCTTCACCTATAAAAGGAAGATAATAGCAAGTGGCCACATCATTGGTCATTGAGAGGATTAATTGAGATTATCTATGGGAAGCTCTTCGTAGGGGCCTAGTGCCTAGTAGGTACTCAGTAGGCCATAATCTGGATCCTTGAGTGCAGTGTTTTGACTGAAACCAAATTTTACTGAACAAATCCTCTTCATAGGCTGGGCACAGTGGCTCACACCTGTAATCCTAGCACTCTGGGAGGCCAAGGCAGATGGATTGCCTGACCTCAGAAGTTCAAGACCAGCCTGAGCAAGAATGAGACCCTGTCTTTACTAAAAATAGAAAAACTAGCCAGGCATTGTGGTGGGCACCTGTAGTCCCAGCTACTTGGGAGGCTGAGACAAGAGAATTGCTTGAGCCCAGGGGTTTGAGGTTGCTGTGAGCTATAACACCATGGCACTCTACCCAAACAAACAAACAAATAAAAACCCAAATCCTTTTCATAAAGAGATTCGTTCTACAAAATTTGGATTGGGTTGAGAGGTAGCACTTGGGGATCTGGAATGCCACATGTGGCCTTGAGATCACAGATTCCCCACCATCTGGTGTTGACTGTCTTTATCCCCACTCTTTTGTTTGTTTGTTTGTTTGTTTTTGAGACAGAGTCTCACTTTGTTCCCCTTGGTAGAGCGCTATGGTGTCACAACTCACAGCAACCTCAAACTCTTAGGCTTAAGCAATTCTCTTGCCTCAGCTTCCCAAGTAGCTGGGATTACAGGCACCCGCCACAATGCCCAGCTATTTTTAGAGGGGGTCTTACTCTGGTTCAGGCTGGTCTCAAACTCATGAGCTGGGGTAATCCACCCACCTCACCTCCCAGAGTGCTAGGATTACAGGCGTGAGCCACCACACCTGGGCAATTCATCCCACTTATGAAAGAAAACATCTTCCCTCCACCAGAGAAGTAAAGACTATGACCTTCAGGCAGTGCCTGTGGCTCAGTGAGTAAGGCACTGGCCCTATATGCCGAGGGTGGTGGGTATATAGGTGGTGGTCAAACTGCAACAAAAAAATAGCCAGGCATTGTGGTGGGCACCTATGGTCCTATCTACTTGGGAGGCTGAAGCAAGAGAATCAGCTAAGCCCAAGAGCTGGAGGTTGCTATGAGCTGTGATGCCACGGCACTCTACCAAGGGTGACAAAGTGAGACTCTGTCGCTAAATAAAACAGACTATGACCTTTGACCTCACCCTTTACCCCTGAGACAGCTGGACTTGGCATTGTTTTTCCCCTAAAATCTAGACTCTAAGACCTTTAACTCAGAGAACCTAAATGTCTTGGCCTCAGACCCTGATCTTTCTAAACTTCATCATTTATTTGCCCTGTTGATCTACATATACCCAGGCACTCTGACTTTTGAACACCCAGGTTCAGAACTCTTTTGCATTTGCTACAGGACCCCCTCTGTGCCCCAGGTGTCTGATTTTTTTTTTTTTTTAAAGACAGTCTCACTTTATCCCCCTTGGTAGAGTGCTGTAGTTTCATAGATCACAGCAACCTCAAACTCTTGGGCTCAAGTGATTCTCTTGCCTCAGCCTCCCAAGTAGCTGGGCCTACAGGTGCCCACCACAATGCCCAGCTAGTTTTAGAGACAGGGTCTCACTCTGGCTCAGGCTGGTCTTGAACTCTGCCTTGAACTCAGGCAATCCACCCACCTCAACCTCACAGAGTGCTGGGACTATAGGTGTGAGCCATTGCACCCCGGGCCTGCAGCTGTCTTATGCTTAAGCCCCACTTCTACCCCTAAGCCTCAGATGGTCTTACTGTTGATAGGTCCAAGGCTCAAGATTTCCGTAAGTCTCTGTTCCTTCTCCCTCAGGCTGACCTCCCAGATAAACTACTTGTGGGCATGGAGAATGCACACAGACTCTCCACCTCCAGGAAAGACTTTCAGGCAGTGGAGACAGATCTGGATATGGCTCAGGTAAGTGCTGACATGGGAATGAGCAGTCTTCACCCCTGTGTTCTAGGGGCTGACAAATCAGTGCTTTAGAGAAGTGTGGTGGAATGGCTAAAAGGATGAGTGGATGGATGGATGGATAGATGGACAGACCATTATATTCATTAATTGAACGGTGGTAGATGATGTTTAGGCAGATACTTAGAAGGATAAATGAATGGATGGATGGTTGGATGGTTAGATAGATGGACCACTGGTTCATTGACTGAATGAAAACTGGATTGATAAAGATATTTGAATGGATGATTTATTGGGTAAATAGATAAGATGACAGATGGATAAATAAGCATAGATGACATGATGTATTGTTTACCTATTGCTACATAAGAAATTACCTAAAAACTTAGCACCTTAAAGCAACTAACAGTTACTGAGTATCAGGAATCTTGGAGCAGCTTAGCTGGTGGATTTTGTTCAGGATCGCTCATGAGATTGAAAGTCAAGCTTTTGGTCAGGGCTACATTCATCTGGGACTGATAGAGGCAAATATGCTTCTAAGTTCACACACATGAGGTTATTGGCAGTCAGTTCCTTACTAGCTTTGGCTGGAGACCTCGGTTCCTATCACCTGAGGACATTTGGGTGTCCCTACAACATGGCAGGTGGCTTCCTTCAAGGCAAGTGATCAGAGAAGAGAGTAAGAGAGAAAGTGAGAGAGCACTTCAGATGAAAGATAGAGTCTTTCATAGCCTAATCTCAGAAGAGACCTACTATTCCTTCTGCTGTATTGTGTTGGTCATAGAGACCAACCCTAGTACAATGTGGGAAGTAGCTATAGTTCATAAGAGTATGAACACCAAAAGGCAGAGATCACTGGGGACCTCCAGTGATTCATGTCTCTCCCTCAGGCAAAATACAGTCACCCCCATCCAAGGCCCCCTGAAGTCTCTTCCTATTACAGGATCCACATGAAGTCCAGAACCTTATCTAAATCTGGTCAGGGTAAGGGTGAAGTTCTTGGAGTACAGTTCCTCTTGATTTATTGACCTGTAGACTAAAGAGAAAAGTCATCTGCCACCCACACACCCAGCACATAGTGGTGGGACAAGCACCAGAATAACTGCAGTAGACACCACTATACAAAAAGGGTCGAAAGAGGGAGCACACATGTATCTGGTCCATAGCAATTTTGAAATCCATCCAGGCAGATATAGAAGTTCCTTGATGAGGACTTATTCATACTATTTCCCAGGAGTTTTTCACTATGGCTCTTGGTGCCACCCTCTGGGCTTTTGGCTCCTTGCTCTGAGTCATCTTTCCTTTTTCATAAAAGGTAATGTATTTGCAGCTGAGTAGTTTTCTCAGCTTGCTTTCTCCTTATAGAAATGTGGTGATCCAAAGGCCTCTTTTCATTTTGTACCATCTCTATCTCTTTCAGTCCAAGCTGGTGATGTTTTTGTTCATGTAATTATTTTTTTAAAACTTTGTGGGTCTCAAAAAAAAAAAAAAAACTTTATGGGTCTTAATTAGCTGTGTGTGGTGGTACATACCTTTAGTTACAGCTACTTAGGAGGCTGAGCAAGGAGGATCACTTGAACCCAGGAGTCTGAGGTTGCAGTGAACTATGATGACATCACTGTACTCTAGCTTGGGTGAAAGAACACGACCCTGTCTCAAAAATAAATGAATAGCCAGGCATGGTGGCTCACGCCTATAATCCTAGCACTCTGGGAGGCCAAGTTGGGTGGATTGCCTGAGCTCACAGGTTTGAGACCAGCCTGAGCCAGAATGAGACCTCATCTCTAAAAATAGCCAGGCATTGTGGTGGCACCTGTAGGCCTAGCTACTTGGGAGGCTGAGGCAAGAGGATCACTTGAGCCCAAGAGTTTGAGGTTGCTGTGAGTTATGACGCCATGGCACTCTCCTGAGGGCAACAAAGTGAAAACTCTGTCTCCAAAAAAATAAATAAATACATAAATACATAAACCCCAAACCAAACCAACTTTGTGGGTCTTGTGTGAATTTCTTTGGAGTTAGCTCCACTAGATAAAAGCCACACCCACAAATTGCTTTGAGATAAGCTCTCCTCTACCTTGGCTTCTGCTAAAATGGCTAAGTGATAGTATCCTCAAGTTTAATAGAAGTCCTGTTATTTGTTTGAGAAGACCTATGAGAGTTACTCTTAAACTCTTCAGAGTGTCCTTTGTCTGACTGATGGATAGGCTGAAGCACCACTTTTCAACCTTTCTGAAGCCTTAACAAGGGGTTAAGTCCCATCCTGTGCTTCATCTTTGGCTTTCCTGGGAGTGCCCTCCTTTGCTCAGAAACTATTTTTTAATTTTAGCATCAGTTGCCATCTGGAGAGTTCCTATAGTCAGCCAAACTCAAGGTTAATAACATAGTTGTTCAGACTGCCAAGTCTGCCCAAGCTGCAAGTTTAGGGGTCCACAGGGTCACCCTTTCTTCAGACCAGCTTTTGATCAATTCAGAGATAGCTATAGACTCCCAAAGATTCCTTTAGGTTTGATAATTCACTAGAAGTATTCATAGCACTTGGGGAAAAGCACTATACTTAGAATTTTTGTTTTATTATAGAAAAAGAATATAAATCAGAAATAGCTTAAAAAAAAAAAAAAGATATACATAGCATGGAATTTGGGACTGGAAGGGTCCTAGCATTATCATCCCAGCACTGGTATGTGGCAATGTGTGTATAAAGTATTACCCACCTGGAGAGCTTCATCCAAGCCTCAGTGTTCCAAGTTTTTATTGGGAGATATCATTGCATTGGCATGATTGATTGAATTCACTTATGTGGGCAGTAACTCAATCTTCAGTGCCACCCTGATCTTCCCTGGAGGTCAGGCTGATTTCATGTGACCCAAAGCCACAACCCTCTACTCACATAGTTTGCCATGGCTGGCCCCCATCCAGAGCTGTCTTATTAGCGTAAACAATCTAGGGGCCTACCATGAGTCTCTTTGTTAGCATCAACCATCAGATGTGGTCTAAGGAATAGCAAAGACACTGCTTCACTCAGGAAATTCGGAGGGCTTAGAGGTTACTTCCTAGGAGCTGGGGCCAAAGTCAGACCTTCTCTTCAGGTGAAGTTAATTCTTCACTACACAGGAAGGCTGAGAATTTTCAAAACCTTTGAGCCCCAGATTCTTCATATTTAACATTTCTTCCTTTAGGAGAAATTTCCTTAGCCAGGCACGGTGGCTCACATCTGTAATCCTAGCATTCTGGGAGGCTGAGGCAGGTGGATCACTTGAGCTCATTCATGAGTTCAAGACCAGCCTCAGCAACGTGAGACCCTGTCTCTACTAAAAATGAAAGCTGAGGCAAGAGGATCACTTGAGCCCAAACATTTGAGGTTGCTGTGAGCTATGACACCAAGCACCCTACCCAGCGCTACAGAGTGAGACTCTGTCTCAAAAAAAAAAAAAAAAAAAAAGAAAGATAGAAATTTCCTTTATCTCTTTCCTCTTGCCTTGTACAATGAGTAGTAAGAAGTCAGGCAGCTCCTTCAACACTCTGGCTGGAAATCTCCTTAGCTGGGTCACCCAGTTTGTTACAGTTTCTACTTTCTACATAATTACAGGCAATGGTGTTGCTAAACTTTCAGCCACTACCACTACATAACAGCCCCCTTTCCTCTGGTTTCTAATAACATGCTCCTCACTTCCCTAAGCCCTCATTGGACGCCTCCTCAAAGTTCAAATTTTGATTAATAGTTTAGTCAAAGCAAGTTTAGATTTCTCTAACATGCTCTTCAAAGAGTCCTTATACCCCTTTTATAGATGTGGAGGTTAAAGCTCAGATTCGGCCTCAGGCACACAACCCAGGATTGGTAGAGCTGGGATTCCAGCCCAGGTCCACCTAAGTCCAAGGCTCATGCTCTTGACTCCCTCCTGCCCTCTGCAGGACGTCGATGCTCTGGATTTGGAGATGCTGGCCCCCTACATCTCCATGGATGATGACTTCCAGCTCAACTCCAGCGAGCAGCTACCCAGGGCCTACCACAGACCTCCAGGGGCTATCCCCCGGCCCCGCGCTCGGAGCTTCCATGGCCTGTCACCCCCAACCCCTGAGCCTTCCATACTGCCCCGCTGGGGGAGTGACCCCCGGCTGAGCTGCTCCAGCCCTTCCAGAGGGGACCCCTCAGCATCCTCCCCCATGGCTGGGGCTCGGAAGAGGTGAGCCACAGTATACAGGTGATGCCATAGGAGTGTAGAGTAGGTCCCTTCCCCAGTCTTGTCCCTGCCTCTACATCAGCCTTTCCAGTCCTCCTACCCTGATCTCTGCTCCAGCACTCACTGTCCCCAGCACCTGCCAAATCTGTTCCAGCCTCTTGACGTTGCTTGGTTTGTGCCCCCTTCCCAAGTACCTGCCACTGCTCTCGTGGTTGATCTAAATTCTACCTGTCCACCAGGGCTCTCTCCTTTGGAACATATTTACATATGGCCTAGTAACAATTTGTCATAGTTAAGATTTTGCCACAATGTCAAAGAAGCTATCTGGAACTAAGTCTCTAACACCTTTGAGAATCAGACGAAAGCTATGAACTCTTTTCCAAGAAAGTTTACACACATGATTTTGTATATAATTTTGGAGGGGCCTTGTAGATTACTAACACTCAGGTTTTGCTCTCCATTGTGTAGGCATGTGCTCACTTGAGTATCCAGAATGGTCTTTTACTGTCCTTATGAGGATTTTATGGACATCTCTTCATACCTCCCAAGGCTCCCAGCTTGGGGCTGGGTATACATAGTGGATGCCTGACAAAGACCTATTAGATAAAGGAGAGAGGGAATTTTTTTTTTTTTTTTGAGGAGACAGAGTCTCATTTTTATCATCCTCGGTAGAGTGCCACGGCATCACAGCTCACAGCAACCTCCAGCTCCTGGGCTTAGGCGATTCTCTTGTCTCTGCCTCCCAAGTAGCTGGGACTACAGGTGCCTACCACAATGCCCAGCTATTTTTTTGTTGTGGTTTGGCCAGGGCCGGGTTCGAACCTGCCACTTTCGGTATATGGGGCCAGCACCCTACCCACTGAGCCACAGGCACCACTCTGGGAGGGAGTTATTAATGAATAGAGTGGGTAGGTGGATGGAAGGAAGGATGGATGGATGGCAAGTGCGGGGATAGACAGATGGATGAATGGAAGGGTAGATGGATAGAGGCCATATGAGTGGGTGATGGATCATCAGCTGGATGAATGGAAAAATTTGTAGGTATATAGATGAATGAATGAGTGAATATGGATGGATGGGTGGGGGGGTGAATGCTCAGGTAGGTGAATGGATGAAAGGAGAGGTGGATGGAAGTTTGGGTGGGTAGATGAGGGATCACTAGGTAGACAAATGGAAGATGGGTTGAGGGTGTATAAGGAAAAGAATGAACAGGTATTTGGGGGAATGAATGAACAGGTATTTGAGGGAATGAATGAACGCTCATCACTTGCTTACATTGTCCAGACCTGCCCAGGTTTGCTGTGTCCAGAGATTCTTGCCTATTTTCCTGTAGGCCCCTGACCCAGAGCTCAGAGGACGAGGCCGAAGGAGTAGAGCTATTGGGAGTGAGACCCCCCAAACGGTGCCCCAGCTCAGAACCCGAAAACTTTCTGCTGTTTCCCCTCAGCCTGGTATGTTGAGGGATTGATGGGATTTTCTGGCTCTCAGAACCTAGCAGGCTTAAATCCCCTCTTTTATAGATTGGATACCAAAGAGGAGAATGGCCGAAGGTCTTACAGCTCAGCTAAGTCTAGGACCTTGATCTTCTAGTTTCACTAATGGGCATGAAAAGGCTTTGCAAATACATGTAAGTTGGTGACAGGTGCTAAGAAAAATTAATTAGGGTAAGGGAGAAATGGCAGGTTGTTAGTATCTGTAGGAATCTTCTCTGCTCCCATGGGACTCCCTCCCCAAACTAGAACAGGTTTTGGCCTTGGATTACTAGTGCAGAATTAAGAGTCAGACTGACTTGGGTTCAAGTCCCAGGTCAGCTACTAGTAACTTAGACCTTGGGCAAGAGACATCACCACTCTGAGCCTCAGTTTCCTCATCTGGAAAGGAAAGGATTAAATGAAATGAGCCTCTTGGCTGACACTTAGTAGGCTGTCCATAAATGATGTACAAAAACAAACCAAACCAAAGTAGCATACCCCCAGTGTCCTGGCCTTCAGCCTCACCCCTACTGCCCATTCTGTACAACAGCAACCAGAATGCACTTTCTAAAAGCCAGTCTAGGCTCTGTCCCTTCCACAAGGCCTCCCTCTAGGTCCTCCCATGGCTCCCTAGTACCCACAGAAATACCCTGCCTCCTCACTTTGCTGTTTTAACACAAGGGATGTGGTTGACAGTATCAACAGCTTACATGTATTTAGTGCTGATCACATGTCAGATGCTGACTGCACTAAGTGGCTTACATAATTAATTTATTTAACCCCACAACTACTCTTGAGATGTTATTATATACATTTATATAGAAGAAGTTAAGCAACTGTGTCAGTCAGAGTCTGAACAGGAAACGAGGATGGGATGTTGAGGGGCATGTCATAATAGGACTATTGACAAAGCTGTGGACAGGGTAGAGGGAAGTCAGCAAGGATTGGTGCAGCACCCTGGGGTTAGAAACATGGGAAGCTGGCACTAGCCCTTGTCAGAAGTTGCAGGCAGGGTTGGCTACCAGATTCTGGAGCCAGTGGAGTCCATTTGATAAGGGCTGAAACATTTTGTGTAGTGACACAGCCTATTCACAGTGACCTAGCAGGGAAACAGCTAGAAGAATAAATACCCCTCATAAATCTCCCATGAGCTGAATCCCATCCTAACAGGAATATACAGAGCAAGGTTGCATGGTATTGCAGTCCACGTGTACAGGCCAGCCTCCTAGAGCATAGAAGAGGAAGAGGGAGGACAAGGCCCAGGAGGAACACAAGAAGGACATCTGGGGCAGTGACAGGTGGCTGCTGGACCCCAACAGTGCCCTTAACCACTTCTTGGATATTAATGATGATGGTGATGACAATGATGGCAGTGGGTATGTCTCTCTCCCACAGAGTTTTCTTCTGACAGGAGGCCCAGCCCCAGGGAGCCAACAGCATCCCAGCACCCACCTCCTGGACCTGAACGAGCCCCTGGGTGAGTGGCAATCTGGGTATCCAGAGGCCCTGGGTCACCCTCTCCCCAGGAAGGTACCCGGATGGTTGAAAGGATGGAGCCATTCCAAAGAGACCATCAGTGCCCAGGGGTGACCTTGGTGGAAACAGGCACTGCAGGGGAAGGAGACACCCTCAAGGAGGCAGGGACTTGCCAAGGCTTCCCTTTTGGGTGAAAGCTGAGCCCAGGCCTCTCGTTGCCACTGGTTGGGCCTGGGACTGGTTGATCTCCAGCCCTGGCTTATCTAGGTTCCAGGTGTGGACCGCTATGCTACCTTACTCAGGAACAATTGCTTTTAGGTGCCTGAGGGCTATCTACTTTAGCAGAAGGGAGAGAGAAAGAGAGAGTCTTTGAGGGTGAAGCAGTTTTAGAAGAATAAGTCTTAGCAGTCTTTAG